ACATCTTATGGATTTAGTATCTTTATAAGTCTGTGTGACAAAGGTAATCAAGAGAGGTGTGTTGAGATCTTCTACTGCAAAGCAAAGTTGTAGATTTCTCTCTGAGAAATTGCTATCAATCTTTAGTTCATATATTTTGAGGTTAATTAATTAGATGCACACAATTCAGTTTCAGTATGTTTGGGTGAGATAGTTGTAGCTCTTTTAATATTACACAGTAGGAGGTGTCCTCTGTAGAAGGCTTGCAACCCCACTTAGAGCTGCTCAGGATTGATCTCTGCACTCAAGGTTGCTTTCTGTGAATATCTGCAACTTTATTTGGGGAACACATGTGGCACAAACTCAGGAAAAGCTACAAGTGCTGGTGAGCTGCTGAGGCCCCAGAAGAAACTCTAAACTAATGATGGATAATTAATTGCTGGTGGATCAACACCCCAGCTTCTTTGCCTCTCAGTCTGTTTAACACTGTCTCCTGGGGTTCCCCATATGACTGAGCTCGAGTTTCCCAGAGTCACTGGTTTGATAACATATCCTTTATTCCCTGCAATCCCTTTCCTGATCCACTTTCCTACTAACTTGCTTGTATTTCCTGAAATACTTAATTTGCACACAAATGCAAGACACCCTATTGTTTCCCAGTAATGAAGGTCACCATATGTTTGGGTTATTTTTGAGGAGTTAAAAGGTATGTTAACACTGCAAGGTAATAGGAATAAACTAGGACTGTCTCGGGCATTACCATGCTGTCTTGATTCTTTTTTTATTATTATTAAAGTAGTAGCATTTTAAAAAATACTTATTTATTTAAAAGCCAGAGTTACAGAGAGAGAAGGACAGACAGAGAGAGATCCTCCATCTGCTGGTTCACTCCCCAGATGACTGCAATAGCTGGGGCTGAGCCAGGCTGAAGCCAGGAGTTTCATCTGAGTTTCCCACATGCGTGCAGGTGCCCAAGTACTTGGGACATTTTCTGCCACTTTCCCAGGCACATTGTCAGGAAGCTGGATTGGAAGTGGAACAGCCGGGATTTGAACCAACAGTCATATGGTATGCCGGTGCTGTAGATGGCAATTTAACCCACTGTGCCACAGCGCCAGCCCCTGTTTTTTTGATAGTAGTCCTGTAGTATTTCTTGAGATTAGGCATTGTGATGCCACCAGCTTTTTTCTTTTTGTCCAAGATTGCTTTGCTTATTTAAACTCTTTTGTGGTTCATATTAATTTCAGGTTTTTTTTTTCTATTTCTTTGAAGAGTGGTAAAGGTATTTTGATGGATGATTGTGTTGAATTTATAATCTCTTTAAATAGCATTTTTTAAATAATTGTATTTGTGTTTGTTTCCTTTTTCTAGTTGCCCCCTTTATTGGTTTGGAACCTATACATGTGCACTCTATTTTTTTAGTGTTACCCTAGTAATTTCCCCTGAATACTTAACAAAATCTGAACAACTTCTCTCTTTTTTACACAATTCAAGGATCTTGGAATAGCTTATGATAATTATCCTCACAATTCATGTTCTATTATTCTTCTGCATTTTATTTGTTAGATTTTGAAAACCACAAATTAGATATTGTCATTATCATTTTATAAGCATTATTTAGATTTGCCTACCTATCTACTAATTTATTCACTTATCATTCTTTCTTACATCTAAAATAAAACAAAATATAAATGAAATATTTGTTTTGGAATACTTTTTCCTTTTCCTGTAATGTCTTTTAGAAGATCCTTTATTGTTGATGATAAAGTCCCAGTTTTTAATAATTCTAAAATATATTTTATTCTCATATTTGAAAGTTCATTTTACTAGACATTATGACTTAATAGTTAATTTCTGCTCATTACTTTGAAGATATTATTCCACTTTCTAATGATTTCTACCATTAATGGTGTGTAAATGTACAAGATTCATTTTTTTTTTTTGGTCTTGGCTTTTAAGATTTTTTTCTCTGTCCTTCATATACTCTAGTTTTACTACATTTTGTAAAGGTGTGCAAATCTTTTAATGTATTTAATTTTTAACCTTCCTCAATGTGTATGTCTGTATCATGAGTTCCAGGAAATTTTTTGTCATTAACTCTTATAATATGGCTTCCCCCCATTGTCCAGCATCTCCTCCAAGCTGTTTGTTAAATGTTATATCTTTTTTTAAAAAAGATTTATTTATTTATTTATTTATCTGAAAGTTAGAATTATACAGAGAGAGAAGGAGAGGCAGAGAGAGAGAGAGAGAGACATTCACTGGTTCACTCCCCAAAAGGCTACAATGGCCAGAACTGGGCTGATCTGAAGCCAGGAGCCAGGAGCTTCCTCCAGGTCTCCCACATGGGTGCAGGGGCCCAAGTCCACTGCTTTCCCAGGCCATAGCAGAGAGCTGGATCGAAGTGGAGCAGCTGGGACTCTAACTGATGCCCATATGGGATGCCAGCACTGCAGGTGGTGGCTTTATCTGCTATACCACAGCACTGGCCCCTATGTTATATCTTTTCATTCCAGCCCCACCCCATGTCCTTTAACCTCTCTTATTCAAATTTTCCATCTCCTTGTCTCTCTGTGCTTTATTCTGAAAAATGTATTCAGCTCCATCTTTCCATTCGTTAACCTTCTCTTCACTATAATTAATGTGTTGTTTAACACTTTCATTTATTTTCGTTCATTATGTTATGTTTTTCTTTCTAAAAGTTCTGTTTTGTGGCCGGTACCGCAGCTCACTAGGCTAATTCTCTGCCTGTGGTGCCAGCACCCTGGGTTCTATTCCCGTCAGGGCGCTGGATTCTGTCCCAGTTGCTCTTCTTCCAGTCCAGCTCTCTGCTGTGGCCCAGGAGTGCAGTGGAGGATGGCCCAGGTCCTTGGGCCCTGCACCCCATGGGAGACCAGCAGAAGCACCTGGCTCCTGGCTTCAGATCAGCATGGCGCACCAGCCATAGCGGCCATTTGAGGGGTGAACCAACGGAAGGAAGACCTTTCTCTCTGCCTCTCTCTCACTGTCTAACTCTGCCAGTCAAAAACAAAAACAAAAACAAAAAAGTTCTGTTTTGTTCCTTTTCCAATTTGGTAGCTTTTTAATAGTCTCTTGTTGCTTTTTCATTTTTGGAATTTTTATTTTGTACTTCTTTCTGCCTCCCAGAAAAAGTATCTTATAGCTCATAGTTAGAATACCTCAAGGCTTCTGGGGATTTAAATCTATTGCTTCATGTATCTGCTGGCTTTCATTCACGGTGATTTGTTTGTGTGTTCAATGATCTTTCATTAACTCATCTTTGGTTGGTCTTAATCCCTGAAAATTTTAGGTGTTTTTTTCTCCAGGGAGATTTTGCACTTTTATTTGTGAGGAGCCTAGGGTGCTACCTACAGAATCCCTTCTTGGATACCAACTTCATCCAGAAGTCTCAGGTTTAGTTCTCCCCATCTTGCCACTGACCCAAGCCCAGAATCCCATTACAACGCAATATAAACATTTGCCCCTGGGTAATTCCACACTGTGTGAGTGCTCTGCACTCATTATACTTTTTTAAAAAATATTTTATTTATTTTATTTGAGAGGTAAAGTTACAGACAGCTCTCCCAGGCCACAGCAGAGAGCTGGATCAGAAGTGGAGCAGCTGGGACTAGAACCGGCACCCATGTGGGATGCTGGTGCCACAGGTGGAGGATTAACCTACTGTGCCACGGTGCTGGCCCCTGCACTCATTATACTTTTAAATTGTTTTGTTTCTGGCCTCTTGAAATTTTCCCCATCTCTCAGAGGTCAGTGATACCAAATCAATTTAATTTAAGTAAGACCTAGTTGTTTGGAAACAGGAAGATCTCTCGAGCGTCCCCTATTGCAGTCCAGCCCTCACCCCCACTACACAACCGAAACTGCTTAGGGAAAGCTGATCCCCTTATTGCCAAGTGTGATGTGTGTGGGAGTTCCTTTTCCGGCATAACCCCGTCTACCCTCCCGGCATGCTCTTTTTTCTTGAAACCCTCTGTGATTACGTGACATCATCAGTTCCCTTATATTCTCCTATTTCACTGGCTGCATCATTTTAGCCTCCTTGGTGGGCACCATTGACCCTATCGTCACATAACCAGTGTCCTCAGAAATCTATCTTCAGCCTTCTTCATTTTCCCTCTGTATATTGCACTGAAATAATCATTCACCGACATAACTCCGGACCCTAAATTTCTCATGCATCTCACACGTGCTTGTAAAGCATCCTCCATCTTTTTTCTTTTTAAGCCTGATAACTAATGTAAGACTAAGCTCAGGGCCAGCACTGTGGCACAGTGAGGGAAGCCGCCGCCTGCAGTGCTGGCATCCCATATGGGCGCCGGTTCAAGTCCTGGCTGCTCTTCTTCCGATCCAGCTCTCTGCTATGGCCTGGGAAAGCAGTGGAAGATGGCCCAAGCCCTTGGGTCCCTACATGTCTCACCGGCATGGGAGACCCAGAAGAAGCTCCTGGCTCCTGGCTTCAGATCAGCCCAGTTGTGGCTGTTGCGGCCAATTGGGAAGTGAACCAGCAGATGGAAGGCCTCTCTCTCTCAGCCTCTCCTCTCTCTGTGTAACTCTGACTTTCAAATAATTAAATAAATCTTAATAAAACACAAATAGACTAAGCTCAGGGTTGTTCTCCAAGATGCCTTTGCCGACTACCCTCTAATCTCCGACATGCTTCCAGAGCAAACTGCATCTATCTCTGCCATTGCTTCTTACACAGCATATGTAACCAGCTAACTAAGGGGCACCCGGGCAAAGGAGCCTGGGGAAGTGCTGGTGCTTACTTACCTCTCTTCCAAGAGGCTGCCTTCTACCGGAGGTCAGGGTATACCTACACTGCATGCTAACATCCAGCACAGGAAGTGGTCCACGGTACAGAAACACATGTTTGTTGAATAAATGAAAGAACTTATGAATGAATGAATGGGTGAGTGAGTGATGGTTTTGGAGTTTGGGAAGCAGGGAGAAGAAGAAAAGAGAAAAGGGGAACGACTGGCATGTTCAAGCTGCTTTTCTCCTCACTTAAGTGGAATAAAGTTGTCCTTTCATTTCATCAAAAGTTTATTGAGCACCCAGGGTGTGCTAGGCACCCACTAGATGCTAGTAATACAAAGATGAAGAGCAAAACAAAACAAAACAGAGAAACCACTTCCTTCCATACCCCCACAGATTTCAGGCAGATTTGGCTTGAGCCTGGGAAGCTGCCCTTCAGGGACTCAGCACCAGGGTGCGGCGTGCTCTCATCTCACCCCAACCTTCACCCCTGCATTTCAAGGCTGACCAGCAGGTACCCTTTCTCCAGCTCCTGCCTCTTCCACCCATCTGAGCAACTTTCCCCTACATGCGCTATCTCATTACGGGCCAGGGTTGGTTCTGGCTAAGGAAGACTACTGCTCAAGTGGGGCTGGGGAAGTGTGGAGGGGAGCCAAGAGGGGTGTGCTACCAGGGTGGGGCCGAGGGGGCCCTTGGGGCTGGGACAAAACTTGCACCAGTGGAGGTGGTGGGTAGCTGGGGCCTTGGGATTGCTCTGTGGGATGGTGGAGACTCAGAGCTGGACCTCGGGAGGATGGGGAAGGGTTAGGGGTGGGAAGACCTTGGAGGCACCAGGAGGGAGAGGACAGAACACCCAGAGAGCCTCCCTCCTCTTCCAGCTTTTAAATCGCCTCTCTCCTCATGCAGAATACTGCCTCTCCTACTAATTGTTCAAGAGGTATGGCATGGGCATGGCCTGGCTGCCCAGGAACCCAGTCCCTCTGTGTTCTACGGTGGTGTGATTAAGGATGCCAGCATCTGGGAGCAGCGCCGGGGGGGGGGGGGGTCCGGGGGGGGGGATGGCAGGAGGCCAGGGGTTGGGCCACGTGGTCTTGAATGCTCCGCCCCCTCCTCCCACCATGTCTCTGGAGATGAGAACCTTACTCTCTGACAGATGGAGAAAAATGCAACACCCTTCTCAGGTGTAATGATTGTTTGCAAAGCTTGTTTTGGAGGGAAGCTAGGGAGAGGGCACGAGTGCCAGGGGTGAAAAGCAGTTCCCCTACTCGTTCTGGCTCTCTCTGCCAGGGCACTGAGTGGGAAGGCACTCCCTGTCTGAGTAAGCCCACCCCTCTCTTTTAGTCCTGAACAGAGACACAAAGACTTGTCCTGCTGCCAAGGGAGGCTTTGGGAGGAGGTCAAGGTCAAGCACAGTTGGCTTGGTCAGGACAGGGAGGAAAAATGTCCTTGTGCCCCGCCCCCCCTTCACCAACACGCAGATCCCCAGGCAGCAGGTGCCCGGCGAAGGGGCCCCAAATCACTCCCTTCACAATGATTCCTCGGGTGCTCAGAACAGCGCCAGTATGCGAAACTTCTTCGTAGTTTAGGACAGTTGTGCGTTTGGGGCAGGTGGCCTCTCTAATTTGGGGTTGTCAAAAATATGCCCAGGAATAAGGCTTCTTGGGAGCCAATGGGGTGGCTGGAAAGCGTAGGAGCTCCCTGGGCAGAGCCAGGACAGTCAAGGGGGTTAGGTTACTGGTGTTAGTGTCCATAAGACCCTTCTGGGGATTGAGCTGGAGATTTAAAACTCTATACGGTCCTAAGAGGGCACAGTCCATACCCGCTGAGAACACCGCCGGGAACGGCTTTCACCACCAGATCCACGCCCCGCTGCGCCCACCCGCGCATGCTCTTGCCGACCATGCCCGAGACGCGTGCGCCCTGCCGGGACCTCCCCTCGCCCGCGGGCGCGTCCCCCGGGGTCCCGCGGCGCTCAGGCGCTGATCTCCACCGGGCCCGCCTCGTCCTGCTCACGGATCATGTGCACGCCCGCAGTCCGCAGTGTGCGCGAGGCGCTGCGCGAGCGGCCCGGCGAGCTCGGGGCGCGCGGCGGCGACGAGTGCGTCCGGCCGGTGGCAGGGGAGCGCGCTGGCGAGCGCGGGTAGCGGCGGGCCGAGCGGATGGGCAGCCCGGGCGAGCGGCCCGGCACTGTGGGCGACACGGAGTAGCCGGGCGGGCCGGGCTCTGTCGCGCTCCGAGGCTCCGGCGCGGGGTTCTCCTCGGGCTCCGGAGAGTCCTGCAAGGACCCGCGCGGCAGGGGTCAGTGGACAGCGGGCGCAGTCAGGGGGCGCGCGCGTCGTGTTAGAGGGCAGTGGAAACCCTGACGCCCAGGAGCCGCAGCTCCCTCCACGCGCCCACCTCCTGATAGTACAGCGAAGGTGTGGATTTTCTTGAGTGCTTTGTGTCTTTATTTCTGCTTTTTCCACCTGTCTCTCAGAACCTGGGGCACCGTTAGTTGTGCAATAGCGGGGAAATCAGAGTTGGTGTTCGAAGACCTGGAATTGAAACCTAGATCTGCCACTTATTTACTTGTTTACTCCTGGGCAGGTCATTTCATCATCTCTGTCAGCCTTATTTTCCGAATCTCGAAGGTGGGGATGACAAAAATGTTTCACAGGTCTATTCTGAGGGTACTATACAGGGATATTGTAACTGTGGGCCCTCTAGCACCTGCCATGGCGTTGGGGCCCAGAACTTCTCACCTTGTCCTTCAGAACGTACAATGCCATGGGGTTCTTGCGATCTTGTTCTCCGCCTCGCGGCAGGGTGTCTGCTGCAGAGAGGAAAGAGTGGGGCGGCTGGCCCGGGTACAGCCCCTCTCTGCCAGCCAGCTCCCAGGCCCTTTGCTCCCCAGGTGGCTATTCAAGGCCCCACCACAACCTCCGTGGACATAACTGAATCCCTGGGGTCCTACCTTGGCAGCACCTCTCACTATTCTGCAGTCTTCCTGGCAGTTGAGGGGGGAAGGAGCCCTGCAGAGCTGGCTCCTTGGGGCCCAGTTCTGCCTTTGCCGGGCAGCCCACTGACCTGAGTGCCGATGGGATGGGTGAGTGGGCGGCTGGGAGCTCACCTTCTGATTTCAGGCGGTCCTCATTCTGATCCATGTATTCCAGGGAGTTTTGCTTCTCCAGCTTCCTCTTCTTCCTGCAAACCAATCCAGCCCCTCTCAGGAACAGAACTATTTACTGAAAATCGGGGGAGACAGACAGGGAGGGATCTCTTGGTCTAATAGAAGCCTTGTGATGGGAAGGTGGGTTGGGTATGTCAGAGTGGGAGGTAGTTCATGAACTTTGGAGTGAGTCACATCTAGCTTTGCATCATGAGTCTGCCGCTAGCTCTGTGCCGGCGGGCAGGTACTTTCCCCAGTCTGAATCTCTGTGTCATGATCGGTAAGCTGTAGGTAACCAGACTTGAAAGGTACACAACCATAGCCTGACCAAGGAAAATGAAACCATTGTTTAATAGTACTGAGGTTGACCGGAGGTGGGTGGTGAGCATAGTCCACAATGCAAAGACAGATCTCCCAAGAAGACATGCAGGGTCCTGGGAAGACAGGCATTTAGAGAGATGTAAGGAAAGAATCAATCTTGGGGTTAGGACGGACTGAAGGGTTAGGGTACTCCAGATGTGGAACTTGTAGATTTACCTAGACTTTTTGGAGGGTTTCCAGCAGGCACAGACTGTTACCAAGGTCACAAGGAGGAAGATGCCTCCTGTAGACAAGATGATGTACAGGGAGCTTCTTCCTGGGGAGAGGGAAAAGCAAAGAGGTGGAAGAGCGTTCAGAGGGTGCAGCAGGTGCGGAGGGCAGCAGGTGCAGCGAGCAGAGCTTTCTGCGGTGGAAGGAAGAGCGAAGGCGCGCCAGGCAGCGTGGCTAGGTGAAGGCAGCACTTGCTTAGAGTCCACCTGGCTGTCCCTCATGGGTGGTGGGCCCATCTATGCCTCCTCTCACTCCCTCTCCAGTGACACATTCTGGGATGTCGTTAGTCCCCAGGCACCTGCGTCTCAGGGGCTCTCGAGTCCTACGGGAGGAGAGGCGAGGAGACTGACTCACTGTACACTGTGATCTTGACGGGCGGGCTGCGGCCCTGGCTGATGGGGTTCTCCACCACACAGCTGTACAGGTCGTCATCCTCCATGAGCACGCGGGTGATGGTGAGCACCTTTTGGTCAGGGGACAGGAGCATCCGCGAGTCGTTGAGGAGGGGCTTGCCATCCTTCAGCCAGGTGTAGCTGGGCTTGGTGCCGTTCTCATGTGAGCAGTTCAGGGTGAAGGCCTCGCTGAGCTCCAGCACAGTGGTCGAAGCCACTAATACCTGTGGCCTCGAAATGGGCACTGAGACCCAGGGTGGGACTGTGAGTCATGGAAGGCAAAGCTTCTCCCCTCTGCTCTGCAGCTCCCTAGCTCCCAACACATCACAGCGCAACCTGTGGGCTAGGACCCACCAGGGATCCTGCATCTGGTCCTTTCCCATCACTCATTCATCTATTCACCAGCTGGTTATTGAGTACACACTAGGCAGTATAATGCTGAACCAGACAACTGTGGTGCCTATCCCCATTCCCTTCTTTCCAAATACCTTCCCCAGACCACACAACTTCGAAGATATTTTAGTTGGACCCAGCCCAGTTCCAACTGTCTGGGTTCAAACCTTGGTTCTATTACTTGCTAGCTGTGTGTCCTTGGGCAAGTCACTCAATCTTTCTGTGCCTCAATTTCCTCATCTGCAACATGGGGATAATGGGGCCAGCACTGTGGCACAGTGGGTTAATGCCCTGGCCTGAAGCACTGGCATCCTATGTGGCTGCTGGTTCAAGACCCGGCTGCTCCACTTCCGATCTAGCTCTCTGCTATGGCCTGGGAAAGCAGTAGAAGATGGTCCAAGTCCT